ACTCCAGTCTGGGTGACTGAGTGAGACTCCAACTCAAAAAAAACAAAAAAAAACAAAAAAAAACTAGCCGGGCGTGGTAGCGAGTGTCTATAGTTTTGGCTACTTGGAAGGTCAACAAAGCCTTTAACAGACAAAAGTGGAAAACTTGCCGGAGCCCAGCAAGTCAATGCTGGGGTGGCTGTGAGTGTGCCACTCTACTTCAGTCTGGGCGATGAAATGATTCCAACTCAAAAAAAAAAAAAATTGTAAACACAGTATACCTTCTTATTTCCCTATTTCCTAAATAAGTACTACACAATTATTCCAGTTTCTTTTCTAGCTTACACAAATCATAACCCACCTGGAAATAAAAAAACTCTCTCCATGGAACCTCTTAGATTTGAAAATTTCTAATTAACCAAAATAAGTTAATGTTATCATTATAGATTCTACCAGAGGGAATGAGTTCTGTGCCCTATGTCATGTGTAAAAAAAATCAATAGTATCAGTGAAAAATGTTTTCTCTGCCACTATGGGTTGTCAGGCATTGGCTTAGGGTAGGAAGTCACTTTGCAGGAGTGCTGAGGACAGACTCGGCCAAACATCCAAGAGATGACTGACTAGCCAACATCCAAAATGCCTTTTAGCCTTGAAATTCTTTGATTTTTAAATTCACATTAAATACTAATTTGTAATAAACTGGAGAGGAATAAGAGGAAGGAGAAGTATGAACAGAACAGGTGAGTTAGTTTCCAAGGAATTTAAGTAAGCAGCTGCTTACTCCTCTAATATACCAGTTACATGCTTCACAAAATGTACAATGCCCTGTCTGGGTGTAGTGGCTCACACCTGTAATCCCAACACTTTGTAGTTCAGCACATGAGGCAAGGAGTTCGAGACTGACTTGGACAACATAGAGAGTCTTTGCCTCTACACAAAATAAAAAAACTAGCTGGGCATGGTGGTGTATGCCTGTAGTTCCAGTTACTTGGAAGGTTGAGGTGGAAGAATCGCCTGATCCCAGCAGGTCAAGGCTGCAGTGAGCTGTGATTGTGCGCTCCAGACTGGGCGACAGAGTGAAACTCTAACTCAAAACAAAACAAAACAAAACAAACAAAAAAGCAAGCTTAATACCTCTTGAAGATGCTTTTCAAAGAACTTGCGTTAAAAACTCAAGACTAAGGAAAACCATGACTGACCTTCATTAGAATTTTAAATGACTCTTAAGAACATTTTACAGTTCTCTTTTCATAGCATAGTAGATATAAAAAAACAAAATTACAGGAAAGATTAGGAAAACATCTTTTATATTCCCAAAATTTATATTTCTCAAGGACTGGAGAACAATTCTTTTATTATTCAAATTAAGAAATCTCAAAGTATTTTACAAATACTCAACTTCAAATTAGTCTCATAAATAAGTCTGATTTTGGGATAGGAGAAAAGAGACCAGTAAATTCCCAAAATCCTCAAAAATATTACTCTCTTTCATCAATTCTAACATTTCCCTCCCTAATTTTAGCTTTTAAGAAATCCTAAGTATCTCATAACGAATGGTATGTCATAGTTGACTGCCACTATTATTTCTTTCTTAGTGGTTCAAAAAACATTGGTGTGAGTTATAATCAGTGGGATTATATAACTGAGGCTTTGACTCAATGACATACAGTAATCGCCAGGACTAATTTACAAACCTCTTATCAACTTAAATTTATCTCCCTGTTATATCCTAGGGACACTGGAAGGGTGGTCAAAGGGTGTCTTGAAGTTCGTACTTTAGTACTTCACAAGAAAAACCAACTGGCTGGTGTCCATGGATCTTTACCCTACATAAAGGACTTCGTTCTATTACATTGTGACTTCACTTGAGTCTGGTTATACATTACAACAGGTCACAGGCTATGAAAACATCTATACTAACTCGGAAATGCACTGCATCACCCATTCAAAAAACAAAATCACACACACAAAACTCTCTTCTTTCCTGTCATTTTAAGGAGAAATAAAATCTTACTAATTTTTAATCATTTACAAACCCACCAAAGGCCATCAAGTAACATAATCTTTTAGAATTACTCTACTTCAACACAGCCATGAGTTACAAACTTTAAAAACAAAAAAGAGCATTTGGAAGTTGGTTTGAAGTTGGTTCTGATTTGAACTACCAAAAATAAACAAAAAAATTTTATAACTAAAAATCAATGCCGAATGCACTAGAGACAGTGACTATTTCTACCATAAAGGCAGAACTTGTAACATGTTCTATTTATCTTGGTCCTACTATATGTTTTCATAGCATCATTTTGCATTTACATCATTCAAAACTGAGATGCTTGGGATGAAATAATGTTTTTATAACACCCTTGAAACTGAATTCTTTAATCTTTATTAATGAAAATGTTGGCGTTCTTCTAAAATGTGTAAACCTAAAAGAGGAAATGCCCAGGAATAAATGAGAAGTATAATAGATGCTATAGGTCAAAAAAATCTTGTACGCTAAGATCATGTAACAAAGTGTTTATTTAGGTAAGGCAAAAAAAAAAAAATCCATATTTTTATTTCCAATTAAGAAACAAAACAGAACAAAATGCATGATCTGAAAAAAGGAATACTTTCTTCAGCACTAGGACCAAAGCAGGTTTCTATGAAGTCTCTCTCATATGCATAAGACAGTCATTTAAACACCGTCACTGATTAAAAAACACTAGGTTCTTAGAATACTTTATAATGTATTCACTCAGAGGTCTGACTGATGTCCTTCTTCATCCACCCCAAATTTTCCATTATTTTAAACTGAAGATCCACACTATCATATAAGATAATCTGCCACTGCTACAAAATATTTAAATCAGAGGTGTCCAACCTTTTGGCTTCCCTGGGCCGCACAGAGTAAAGAGGAATTGTCTTGGGCTGCACATAAATTATATAAAATAGCATATATACATAATAAGACTTCTTTCATTTTTTTATTTTTATTTTTATTTTTTTTTGAGTTGGAGTCTCACTCTGTTACCCAGACTGGAGTGCAATGGCCGCTCCCGGCCACCACAGCCTCGACCTGCTGGACTCCGGCGATCCTTCTGCCTCAGCCTTCCGAGTAGCCGGAACTACAGGTGCGTGTGCTACCACGCCCGGCTGATTTTTTATTTATTGTAGAGATGAGGTCTAGCCAAGTTGCCCAGGCGGGTCTTGAACCCACGGGCTCAGGTAATCCACTCAGCCTCCCTAAGTGCTGGGATTACAGGCTGAGCCACCGAGCCCAGCCTTTCTATATTTTTATTATAAAGGTTAGAAAAATGAGAATATAAAACTAGTGGGAAATTTGACTTTGTTTTTGTAAAACTAATCCATCAATGGAAGTGGTTGAAATTTTTAGTGAGTTCTCAAAGTGCCCATCAGAAAGGTTTGTTTCAGAGAATGATTGGCAGTAAAGGGAAACTGCTGGGAGGGGTGGGGAAGCAGGATTAGCAGTAGTGGGAATCTGCCTGGGGAAGGCAGGGCACACCTCATTAACAAGGGTTCCTGCATAATGAACATCTGTATACTTAATCCTGAATTGTACCCCACATCTTTAAAATTAAAAAATAAAAAAAAGAAAGGTTTGCTCGAATTTTGCGCATTGTGTGCCTCACAATTGAAAACAGTTGCTCGGTGGCTCAGCCTGTAATCCCAGCACTTTGGGAGGCTGAGGCGAGCGGATTCTGGAGCCAGTGGGTTCCAGACCCTCCCAGGCAACTTGGAGAGACCTCGTCTCTACAATAAATCAAAAATCAGCTGGGCGTGGTAGCACGTGCCTGTAATTCCGCCTACTTGGAAGGCTGAGGCGGAAGGATAACCGAAACCCCCAGCAGGTTCAGGCTGCGGTGGCCGGGAGCATGCCACTGCACTCCAGTCTGGGCGACAGAGTGAGACTCCAACTCGGGGAAAAAAAAAAAGAAAGAAAGAAAACAGTTACAAATGTATGTGCGGCCAAAAAGTGATGTCATGAATAAGATGTGGTTGTGAACTTACAAACACTAAAAAACATAATGTTAAAAGATTTTTGTGGGGCCACGTTACTAGTTGTCCTGGGCCACATATAAGTAGCTGCGGGTTGGACATGACTGACTTAAATGTTTGGTCTCACAACTGGAAAAAAATCCTTCCATATTCAGCAATGCAGCCAGCTTCCTTACAAAGAGCAGTCACTCTGCATTTACATCATTCAAAACTGAGATGCTGAGGTGAGTGGATTGCCTGAGCCCGCGGATTCGAGACCCGCCTGGGCAGCGAGACCTCATCTCTACAATAAATCAAAAAATCAGCCGGGCGTGGTAGTGCGCGCCTGTAGTTCCGGCTACTCAGAAGGCTGAGGAGGAGGGATCGCTGGAGCCCAGCAGGCGAGGCTGCGGTGGCCGCAAGCGGCCACTGCACTCCAGTCTGGGCGACCGAGTGAGACTCCAACTCAAAAAACAAAACAAAACAAAAAACTGAGATGCTTGGGATGAAATAATGTTTTTTATAACATCCTTGAAACTGAATTTTTGAGACGAAAATTCCTGCACCTTCAGTCTACAAATGTAATCCCAGGAGAAGGCTTGGATACAAAAGTTATCACGTTATTTTCCACACATATAACTTTAGTGGCATGAAAATATGCTGGTTTGAGCCTTCAAACACCAAGGAGGCTGCCAAAAGGCCACTTACAGATTGCAGCTTTAAAATTTGGGCTTACTGCACTTGTTCCGTGCTATAAGGCATACCTACTTTTTAAACCACATGATTTCATCAGGGTCTGCGATGCCAAACTCCCTCATCTTCTTTACCATGGTGGCACTCTTCCTGACAGCCACCTCGTAACGCTGGCTGCGAGTGAGGAAGTTCATGTCCTCGTGCTGGAAGGCTGGGTCGTTCAGAATCATGTTCTCTGGAAGGGAGTTGAAGGACATTAAAAGGAAGAGGGACACTCAGGAGTCCGTTTCACGCTCCCCGAATCACAGCAGGATTCCGAATCGCGGACACTCGCGAAGGGAGATATCCCCCCCACCCGGGCCACAACTGCTCCTCGATAGGGAGATCCCGGGAGATCCCGGCTACCGTAACGCCGGGCGAGAGGTTGCGGCCTAGGCCCCACATCGCCCCCGACTCCTCGTCAAGGAGTCTCCAGCTGTGCTCAGCATAAGAAGACCGTCGCCGCCGCCCTCACCGATCTCTCGGCGGCGCCGGGTGTTCTCGGGGCTGCCGTCCAGGACGTGGGTAAGCAGCTCCGGGTTGAAGCTGGCGGAGGCCCGCTCCTTGCGCAGGTCCGGGTGCATGGTGACGGCCAGTGGCGGCGAAGGAGGTCCCGAGGGAGACGGCAGCGTCGACGGGTGTCCGCAACTCCAGCGCGAGCCCGGTCCTAAGAGCAGCCCCGGGACAGCGCGAGTCCCCGCCCCCGCTCGCCCCGGCCCGCCCCGGTCCACCCTAGCCCGCCCCTTTTCACCGCGGCCTAGGCGGAGGGGGCGGCGCCCGCGCCGTGACTGCGGCCGGTCGCGGGTCCGGAGGGTCTTCTGCTCTTGGCCAGGGGAGGCCCCCAGGTGGGCCCTCAGGGAGGGATCGGGAGGTCAAGAAACTGTGCAGCGGGGAGTTGGAGAGAGGTGGCGAAGCACTTTGGGTATCGCGCACTTCCCCGTCATGTGATCGCGCGGAGCTGAAAGAAGAAACCCGAGGCGCCCGCGACGCCCAGAACAGGTAGGCGGGGGACTTGGGAAGGGAAGGGACGAGGCTGAGGCGGGACTGCGCCTGCGCTTTAGGACTCGGGCCCCGTTCGACGCTTCCGGGTCTGAGCGCAAAGGTCTCCCCGGAAACGAGAGAGGGAAGGAGCTCGAGGGCCGTCGGGCGGAGACAGTGGGAGTTGCTGAATTCCCAGGAGAAGTCGTTAGGATTTCCCAAAACCCTCCTAGATTGAAGGAGAAAGGGACGCGGCCAAAAGTCGCTTTGGGGAGAGCCTCCAGATACTCTTTGCTAAAATAATGGCGTCTTTGTTGCCAGAGGCGTAGGCTGCAGGGGCCTGGGTGCAGGATTGCGAGCGCTCGCCTCTGTTTACCCGGTGGACGCGGATTTACAATGAGTCCGAGCTGGCGGTGCGTCTCTAAGCCCTCCACTGGGAAACCAAAATTTTTTTTTCCTCACCTGGTAGTTATTAGAGATCTTGGCATCCAGACTTTTTTGTTTTCGCTATTGTTGTCATCACAGTGATAAATGCACACATTTTAAAAACCTAGTATAGGAGGATTTATAATGAAAAAAACAAGAGTTGCCTTTCCTCGGAGGCAACCAGTTTTCGCTATGTGTTTTTAGTTTTTAGAGGTTTTTTTTTCTTCTTTTTTTTGAGTCGGAATCTTACTACCACCCTGGCTAGAGTGCAGTGGCATGCTCACGGCCACCGCAGCCTCGACCTGCTGGGCTCAGGTGATCCTTCTGCCTCAACCTTCCAAGTAGCTGGAACTACAGACGCATGCCACCACACCCTGCTAATTTTTTGATTTATTGTTGGGACAGGTCTCACCAAATTACCCAGGCTGGTCTCGAACCCGCAGGCTCAGGCAGTGGACTTGCCTCAGCCTCCCAAGGTGCGGTATTACAGGCTGAGCCACTGAGCCCGGCTAATTTTTAAATTTTTTCTGTGAAGATGTCGTCTTACTATGTTACCCAGGCGGTCTCAAACTCCTGGGCTCAAGCAGTTCTCCTGCTTTGGCCTCCCAAAGTGCTGAGATTAAAAGTATGAGCCACTGCACCTAGCCTGTTGTTGAAAATTTTAAACTTGTACAAAAGTAGAGCGAAGGATGGAATAAACTCCATATATACTACCACCCAGGTTTAACAATTATCAGCCATATCCCCACCTACTCCCCACCATATAAATTTTAAGCAAATCCCATATTATAATCATGATTGTATTGCCTATTTTTTTTTTTTGAGTAGGAGTCTCTGTCACCCAGGCTGGAGGGCAGTGGCATGCTCCCGGCAACTGCAGCCTTGACCTCCTGGATTCAGGCAATCCTTCCGCCTCAGCCTTCCAAGTAGCTGGAACTACAGGCATATGCCACTATGCCTGGCTAGTTTTTTAAAATTTATTTATTGTAGAAATAGGGTCTCACCAAGTTGCCCAGGCTTGTCTTGAACCCATGGGCTCAGGCAGTCCTCTCACCTTGGCCTCCCAAAGTGCTGGAATTATAGGTGGGAGCCACCGCACCTGGCCTTGAATTTTTTAAACTGTTATTTTAAATTTCCAACAGCTTTTTTTTTAATTCTAGAAAATATTCTATTTCTCTTTTATGGATATTGTGTCTTTTAAATTGTCACTGTGGGCTGGGCTTGGTGGCTCAGCCTGTAATCCTAGCACTTTGAGAGGCTGAGGCGAGTGGATTGCCTGAGCCCATGGGTTCAAAACCTGCCCAGGCAACTTGGCGAGACCTCGTCTCTACAATAAATAAAAAATTAGCTGAGTGTGGTAGCACACGCCTGTGGTTCCAGCTACTTGGAAGGCTGAGGCGGGAGGCTTGCCTGAGCCTAGCATGTCGAGGCTGCGGTGGCCGGGAGCATGCCACTGCACTCCATACTGGGCGACAGAGTGACACTCCAACTCAAAAAAATAAAAAGTAATAAAATGTCACTATGGATGCTATTTATGATTTTTTTTTTTTGAGTTGGAGTCTCACTCTGTCGCCCAGACTGGAGTGCAGTGGCCGCTCCCGGCCACCGCAGCCTTGACCTGCTGGGCTCCGGCGATCCTTCTGCCTCAGCCTTCCAAGTAGCTGGAACTACAGGCGCACGCTACCATGTCCGGCTAATTTTTAATTTATTGTAGAGATGAGGGCTCGCCAAGTTGCCCAGGCGGGTCTCGAACCCGCAATCTCAGGCAATCCACTCCCCTCAGCCTACCAAAGTGCTGGGATTACAGACTGAGCCACCGAGCCTGGCTATTTATGATTTTTTAAAAGTTCTCTTCTGTTCCCTGTGTTGTTTCTGTTTCCTCTTGAATCAGTTTTGCTGTTTTTCTTCCATACTGCTGTTTTCCTCAAATATCTAGTGATTCTTGATTGCCTGCCATATTGAAAAATGAGTCAATGTTAAGGCCCTGAGGATGAGGGTTAGAGTGATAGGCTGGCAGATTTCACATTTTTTGTTTTGTTTTGAGTCAGAGTCTTACCCTGTCACCCAGGCTGGAGTGCAGTGGCACGCTCACGGCCACTCCAGCATCGATATGCTGGGCTCCTGTGATCCTTCCGCCTCAGCTTTCCAAGTAGCTGGAACTACAGGCACCATGCCCAACTAACTTTTTAAAAATTTATTGTAGAGACGAGATCTTGCCAAATTTTCTGGGTTGGTCTTGAATCCTTGGGCACAGGCAATCTACTCGCCTTGGCCTCCCAAAGTGCTGGGATTACAGGCTGAGCTGGCAATAAGATTGATTGAAAGGAGACTGTGTCACCGGAAATACCAACAGCTGCATTTACCGAGGGCCAGGCACTCCCAGGGCCACTCTGGGAAAGTTTGTGACCACCTGCAATGCTCTCTGCCCCTTCTTTGGTAAAACAAGTGAAGATCTTTATCAGGTGAAAGAAAACAACACATTCCAAAAGTTAGTGGTATATATGAATTCTACAGAAACGTGCATTTTGGTACTTGGTTCTAGTCTTGGTCCTGCCTCTCGCTGTGACACCTTGGACTTCAGAATTCTCATCTGTCTTATTAAGGTGCTGATCTGGGACCCCTCAAGAGCAGGGAGGGTGTCTTGTTTATTCTCTGTACCTGGCACCTGGCACAGTGCCTGCTCTAGAGAAGGTGCTCAACCAATCTTTGTTGAATGAACACATGGCTAAATGGCACCAGACTCTTCCAGTTCGAATATTCTAGAAAATCAATTGCTCTTAATGTAATAGTGATAATGTGTATACTGAGCATTAACTAGAACACGCTTAGATTAAGAGCTAAATTTAGCCTGGTGCGATGGCTCATGCCTATAATCCCAGCATTTTGGGAGGCTGAGGTGAGAGGATTGCCTGAGCCCGTGGGTTCGAGACCAGCCTGAGCAACATAATGAGACCTCATCTCTACAATTAATCAAAAAGTTAGCTGGATATGGTGGCGTATGCCTGTAGTTCCAGCTACTTGGAAGGCTGAGGTGGAAGGATCGCCTAAGCCCAGCAGGTTGAGGCTGCGATGGCTGTGAGCAGCATGCCACTGCACTTCAGCCTGGGCGACAGAGTGAGATTCTGACTCAGAGGAAAAAAAAAAAGAGCTAAATTGAATTTTTCTTTTTCTTTTGAAATAATTTCACATTTACACAAGAATTGCAAAAATACAACAAAGAACTTTGTCACCTGTGACTTTAACACTTTGAAGTATATACACCAATTGTGTATTTTTGTTTGTTTTGATACGGAGTCTCACTCTGTTGCCCAGTTGGAGTGCAGTGGCACTCCCATGGCCACCGCAGCCTTGACCTGCTGGGCTCAGGTGATCCTTCCACCTCAGCCTTCCAGGTAGCTGGAACCACAGGCATGCACCACCATGCCTGGGTGATTTTTTGATTTATTTTAGAGACAAGGTCTCGCCATGTTGCTCAGTCTGGTCTTGAACTCCTGAGCTCAGGCAATCCTCTCACCTCTGCCTCCCAAAGTGCTAGGATTACAGTCGTGAGCCACTACACCTGGCATGCCAGTTGTTTTGCAGTGCTGGGGCTCAGAAAACAATAATCCAAAATGAAGAGTTCAGCTTTCCATTCAGTCTTGTTACAGCTTTCCATTCAGTCTTGTTACAGTCCAAAAGTAAGAGTGGTCTTGTCAAACATACAGCATAACTCTTTCAGGTATCTGTATAATTGAGCTAAGAGACAATGTTATCTCTTGCTCTGAGCCTCTTTTGAGTTGTTAATTGGATTTCCCTCAATTCATAGCCCATTTATTAATTTCTTTACCTTCACCTACTGTTTTTCCTTCTCTTCATTTACTCCCAAACTCTTATTTTTGTTTGTTTGTTTGAGTAGAAGTCTCACTCTGTTGCCCAAACTAGAGTGCAGTGGCAGGCTCATGGCCATCGCAGCCTTGACCTGCTGGGCTCAGGTGATCCTTCCATCTCAGTCTTCCAAGTAACTGGAACTACAGGCATGCACATAACCTGGCTAATTTTTGATATATTGTAGAGATAAGGTCTTGCCAAGTTGCCCAGGCTGGTCTCGAACCCCTGGGCTCAGGTAATTCTCTCGCCTCTGCCTCCCAAAGTGCTGGGATTACAGGTGTGAACCATGGCATTCATCCCCCAAACTCTTCTCTTTTTTTTTGAGTCAGAGTGTCATTCTGTCTCCAGGCTGGAATGCAGTGATACGCTCACGGTCACCACAGCCTCGACCTGCTGG